TCAAAGACCATAGACACTCATTCCACCCTCCCCACTCATCTATATCCTTTTATTCTATACTCAAAATTCCCATATATTTCAGTAATAATTCCAATGCTAACAAATACAATATATTCTATATCTATTACATATAAATCTTCTTATCTCTTCATTCTTCTTCTAAGACTCCTATTCTTCTGCATCTCCTCTTCTTTCTGCCTCTATGGAGCGAATGAACCTCCTGCTGCTATGCTTAACTTCTTCTCACTATCTCTTCTCTTCTCCTCTGTCTTCCTTCTTGAAAATGTGGATATGTCCTTTAACTTTTGCACTTGTGCCATGTATTCATCATCATAACTCCAAGCATCTTCAGTGATTCCAGTGCTTCCTCCTCTGTATCCACTCTATAATATTTTCCATTATATGCAAACCTCATAAAAATCAGGAACCCCCTGCTATATTTTATGGAATTCTTTTGTAATATTTGACAGACTTGAGACATATCTCTTTTCCATTGCAAAGTCCCATTACATAGATCAGGAAAAACTTGAATCTGATGACCTCCCAGCATAATTGATGTCATATTCTGTAATTTTTGCATCAGTTGTTCTTTTTTTGCATATGACCAAAATCTAACCACAATGTCTCGGTATTTTTCTTCCCGGTCTTCTTGGGCCAACTCTGTGTATTGCATCGATATCATATCTTGTAAAAGAGACATCTGGAAGAATAGATTTGGCCCAATCCAATATTAATTGGATCTATTTATCTTCATTCTCTTTCCCATCCTCTGGATACCTGTTAAGGCTTAGGTTCGATCTTCGTTGTCTATCTCGAATCTCAATCACACTTTTAGAGACCTGGTCTAACTTGGTCATCTGTTTTTTAGCTCTTGTTCTTTCACCTGAGCTTTCACTTCTATAATTATTTGATGATTCTCTTGGTTTTGTTTAGCTAATTCTTTTATTCTTTCATCCATGTTGTCTATTTTAACATCTATTTTCTTCATCTCTTCTTTCACATCATTAACACCTGACATCACCTGTGTCTTCATTTCTCTTATTTCTTGTAAAAGTGAATTAGAACTATCTGATTGTGTTGATGGAGTCGTTGTTTCCACCCAGGAAAATGGGTAAGCCTGTCTGCTTCCTCACAGGCATTATTAAACATGGCACAAATTTCAAGTAAAAAGGAATAAACCCTATGTTCTTATTGAGACTTCCCTCCTTCCAGTGAAAAACATAATTACATGTAAGTGATCAGGACCAATAATACGTCAAAAATACAAAAACCCAAGACAAATTCACCCCTTTAAGCCTCCCCTCTCCCAAGTTAACTGCTAAATTAAATAAATTTAAAGGAATTTTATGGTAATGTCAAGGAGAGTGTTAAATTTGTCTATTATGAAATGGAAAAATACATTTTTCTTCCTCCTTACAAGCAGAACATGTTCTAGAAGATCAGGAGATGCAAAAAGTAACTAATCACTTTAAACACATTTCGGAAGGTTTGTTGCCTTGACCTCTAGCAACTTATGTGCATTTTTTGTTTTCGGTTTTTTTTCCAGTTGTCTCAGTTATTCATTGAGGATAAATTGTCCTGAGCAATCGTCTACCAGAATCTTCAGTCAAGAATGCTTCGCTTCTGGCTGCACACTCCGCTGGCATTTTCAGGAGCCTGCGGAGTCCTAGGGTCGGGATTCAGCCAGTTCCTGCAAATGCCAGCCAAGTGTGCTTTGCTCCCGTTTCTCCTTCCCCACACAGGAAAGTCAAAAGATTTCCAGAGCTTGCTCCTGGACTAAAGTGCTGGCTGGAAGATCCCCAGCTTGTACTTCATCTGGGGACCCAATCGTGCCAATGGGCAGGGCTTCCACCAGTGAGGTCACCAGAGAGTCCCTGCCCCCAGGCGGGAAATAGTCCAGGGGCAGTCTTCTCCATCAACCAAATACAGGTCCTCATGCCTACCTGTATATCCTATATGTTTGAAAAAGTGTTTCTACCATGCCTGAAAAAAGGAAGAGTAAAACCTTCAGTTCTTATAAGAAGTTGATGGTGTCCCCTTTAAGATGTAAACTATACATTTAAAAATACCCTCACACTTATTATGCTTTGGAAATACTGATGCCTGGAAAATGTTTTCTCCCCTTGTCCTGCCCCATATTTTGGAACTGATCATTAGTAGAGATCTCCACTTATGATCCTTTCAAGATGTGACAGTTAGCATTTTGTTTGTAAATGCCTGTGCTGTACAAGAATGTCATGAGGTTGATGACATTTTGCTAGTGTCTACAGGCTGCAAAAAAGTGTTTCAGCATGTCACATACCAACAGTTTCTCACTTCTGAGTTTATTGAAAAATATTGAAATATTTGAAATAATGTTAAAGTTAGGAACAAAGTTTTTAGAGGATGCTCTCTGAAGTGTTGCACACCACTGAAATTGTTCAGTCTGAGATTGTGGCAAATGGCAGGATGTACTTGAGGTCCATTCCTGAAGATTTCCAAAACACTAAGTTGCTCATTTCTCCTTCTTCCCACCCAGCTGCTTTCCCTTGCAGGATATAAGAAAGATCGTGTTCATTGTAAGATTTATAAACACATATTATTTAATTTGATGATAATCAATAGCTGTTTCACTAAGGTACCAACTTTCTCATTAAGAAGTTAGACAGTTACCATGATGCACTGTAGGATGTGAGAACACTTCACTCTTAATTGAAAGTATTCCTTTTTCTCCATGAGTATCACAGTCAGTGACTTCTCTTGAGCAGCTAATTAGTGCGATTATTCCACAGCTGCATTAGTTTCACCACAAAGGGTTTTCTCTTATTTTATCAAAAGGATCAGTCTCCCTGGGAATGTTTCAACTTGACAGGTCTGAAATAGCAAGACAGTCATCATTCCCTACCCCAGCACCCACCTCTTGGGTGAAGGTGGAAGGGGGAATCGGGGGCTGGGGGCTTGAAAACGTCAGTAGGCAGAAAAATCTAAGTTTGATCCCTTTTTCTCTGTGTCTTAAAATACTAACCTTTCATGAGGAATGAAACTTTAAACTAACTTTAGAGGAAGATAACTGTGTGTTTCTAGATATGATTAGAAAACAGAAGATTTTTGTCAACCTGTTGTTTTGGTATGATGTTCTAACAATTTGTCCACATTTATGGGATTCCCTAGAAACTTTAGCATTTTAAAGGTAGGCAACTCCATCCCAAGAAAGCTGAATGTGTGTCCATTAGTAAGATCTACAGCCATAGCTGTCCTTAATGATACTTATTTTCACTGAGACATTAGCACGAGTGCTTGCCTTCCTTACCCTAGGAAGCCTAGCCTAAAGCTTTTTAAATGTATGCCTTTATTTATTAGATTTATTTTAAAGCCACCGGTTAGCACCATGTTCTCTTTATCCCAATACTCATCTCTGAAAGTTTCAGTATTTTATCTTTTCTCTTACTCTCCTACTCTGTAATTTTCTCTTATTCACTAATACATGTAGCTCGTTTTCAAGTGCAGTGGGGAGGTGTCTCCTGCCATGTCATTGTCAGTAAACTTTGTAATTACAATACTCAATCAATATGCACCCGGCATAGGAGATTAGATTAGCATGCTGGTGGTGTAGCTCTAAACTAGTGTAGTCACATGGATGTTCTTGTTTCATAGCTGAATCTTTAAGTTTTTAGAATGAAATACTAATTGTTTATCCTGAAATATTGTGATTTTTCTAGTCTTAGTATTGTCATACACCACCTTAGCTTGGAATAGCAGCTGTGAAAAGGATCTTGGGATTGTAGTTGACCATACACCAAGCACAGGTCAGCAGCGTGATATGGTCTAAAGGACCATCTGCACCCATATATCGGTACCCACCCCCTTAGATCAGTCCAGGAGGCCCTTCTATGAGAACCACCCTCAGGGAGGTGAAAAGGGTGGCAACTAGGCGAAGGGCCTTTTCTGCTGCTGCTCCCTATCTCTGGAACTCTCTCCCTAGGGAAATTCTCCTGGCGTATCCCTACTTTCCTTTCTGTGCCAGGCAAAAACATATCTTTCAAGGAATTTTTTAAACATTTAGTCTGTATGCTGTGGCCCTTTTTAGATGTTTAATTAATTACGTTTTAATTGGTTCTTAATGTTTTTTTACCCTGCTAGTATGTTTTGCATTGTAAGCCACCTAGGAAGGCCTCAGCAATTATAGACAGCCTATAAATGCATGTAAATAAATAAATATGTGTTATCAGAATCTGAAGGTTAGAAATATTGGCTATGATGCAGAAACATATGCACCTAACCTGCACACGCTGAAGTTTCCCTACAATTCCCTACAATTTCCCCAGACATTGCTGCCCTTGTAAAGGTTATAAAAGCTGTCTTCACATTTGGCATTGCATGAAAGCAACCAACTGGAAGAATACCATTTGCTTATTTTTCTTCTCGGAAACTGTTACAGTAGCCTATCAAATAGTTTTTAAAACTCTAGGCTATGGATTGAAGTTACCTTCTGCATATCTGTCTAAGAAATATCTGCTATGAAAGTAAGATACTCACAAGAGTAATTTAGGCCATAATTCTATAGTGTTTCCTGGAAATACGTTCCACTGGAGTCAGTCAGACTTAGTCTGTGTAGAACTGTACAGGATTGCATGAATTTGATTGAGCATAAGCAAGCTCTTTTATCAGATGTTTTCCTAAAGATGTTTTCTTTGAAAGGGGAACAAAATTAGTTAAGCAATCTGTAACTTTCTTAAATTGGCAGAGTAGTGGTATACAAGTGCTTGAATACTTGCGATTATTAACAGTAGGTATTTAACTGCCCTCCGTGTGTTAATAGATAGCAGATCCTAGAACCTATGACAAACCAGCATCTTGACATCTCTGTCCATACTATTGCTGTCAATATGCTTTGTTTGATACTGAGAACCCCGTTTCCCCAGCGCATGAACTCTTCTCTTGTCCCCTTGTTAGTCTTCAAACTTCAACAAATGCTATGGATGAGTGATAGACCCGTGTGTGTCTTCTGGTGTTTTCCACAGCAGTTCCGAGCACCCTGGAGCTTCCAAGCCTCCGCTAAGCTCCTCTAGTATGACATCACGGATTTTGCTACGCCAGCAGCTCATGCGTGAGCAGATGCAGGAGCAGGAGCGGCGAGAGCAGCAACAGAAACAGCAGGCTGCTCAGTTCATGCAGCAAAGAGTGGCAGTGAGTCAGACACCAGCCATCAACGTCAGCCTCCCAGCTAGCCTCTCTCCTGCTACTCAAGTCCCAATGGAAGTCCTTAAGGTATGTGAAGTTTCCAGCAGAAATTCTGTTAGAGTTGTTGTTGTTTTTATTTAGCACTTGATGTTTAAAAGTGCTTGATGTAATAATCACCAAGATAGTTGTACTATAAATTCCATCACTTCCCTGTCCGCCTGTATACTCTGCACATACTTTTAATCTTCTGTGTTTTCCAGGAAAGGCTCACTTACTAGAGTTGGGAATGAACCTTCATTTTTTGTAACATTTAGGAAGAAATGTTTTTTGGTGGGGAGGGGGTAGACAGAGGACATGAAACATATTTGAAATCTACCTCCATATTCCAAAGCAATTTTTAAAATAAACACTTACCAAATTATTGTATTTTCAGGTTCTCTTATTCTCAAGGTAGAAAATAGATGTCATTCACATATATAGCTTTGTTTAAGAGCTATGGAAAGATCCCACACAAAGGATTGTTTCAGAAAGTCTTAATCTGGAATACGGTCTTTTGCTGTTAGCCATTATTAATCCTTTTTTTTGCTCAAATGACTTCATTTCTTTTTGTAGCTTTTGTGTTCCTTGCTAGTCCAGCTTCCTAATTACTGGGTAAAACTGTATCTGTTACAGACAGAAATGCAGATGTCTTCATGTGAATTGGAACAGTTACAGCAGAGATTCTTAAAAGTTATTTTTAAGTAACTCTTAAAAGTTGGAAAATAAAGGCTGTAACTCCAAAATCCAAAATAAAAATGCAGTTTGCAATTGTTTTATCACCCAGCTGTTGTACCCACAACAGTTATTAATCATATCCCCCCCCACACACACTCACTGATTCAGGGAGTTAATAGTACTCTTCAGCCAGCTGTGTGTTTGTTTATGAAGCAATACACAATGCTAACAATATGGTGAATTTGAAATTTTAAAAACTAAATCTTGGTTCACCAACTGAAAGAGTCTATAGTGCAGTTTGTTCTTGTAAGTATTGGTACTAATGAGGGCTGTTGGTGTTATATATGTCAAGTAACTATAAAGCTGCAGGTGAATTTGCAGGAGCTGGCCCACTTGTCTTGGTAGACTTAGATTTTTAGAAAGTGGCTGGACAGGATCGTGCACGTAGGAACAGAACAGAGCAGAACATGGGCAGAGTCAGATCCAGGCATAATGTGAATACAGATCAAATTGTAGAGCTGGAAGGTGTGCTTGTGGGTTTCTTGTGGGAAGTGTCTGGTTACTGGGTGAACAGAATGCTGGACTTGAAGGATGCTTGTTCTGATCCAGCCTGGCCTTTCTTATGTTCTGATGGTACTTTGATCTAGAACTTGCCATCTGATCTTATTTTATTTTGCAAGGGATACTAAGAAGTGGGCTAAAGGGAGAAGAGAGTTTGTCTAACTTTGTTTGAAGTCAAGCAGGCAAGACTGAAGTCAGGAGTCTGGCAGTTTTTAATGTAAAAAATAAAACCTAACAGACTAAAAAGGTGTGCTTCGTGAACTGACACCGAGCAAGAGATTTTCTGATTTTTCACCATAGAACAGCTGTTCAAGATGGTGCCCATCAAAAAAGGAAATCTCATTGAACTCACAGTCCTTCAATATAGGAGGAAAAGTCCTATTAGCTTTAGGATATGCAGAGGGGGCACCTGCACCCAGCCATATCCTTGCTTTGGCTGGTGCTTCCACATGAGCAAAATAGGTGCAGCCTGCCCATAGCTTCTTTTGGTAAAGCAGTGCGAGACCTTTGCATTCATGTGGAAGCATTTCCTCATGCAGCTGTGGGGTTGTATCCTGTTTTCACCACAGGGGAATTGGTGTGTCTGTTGCCTTCCCGCCTGTAAGTTGCATCTGTGTTTAGCTTTGCCTGTGTTAGTTTTGTGTTCTCATTTAGACGATGGGCATGAAGAATGTAATAGTGGTATAGGATAGAAAGAGATTTATTATTTTCAGTCGCAATCATAAAATTATTTCAGGCACAGTGCTGACAAGATACAGAAGCTGGTGTAGTTCTTCCATTGTGGTCAGTTGCCAGGTGGGCAAGGAGAGGATGATTTTGCAATTGTAGGTTGCGTTTGGCTAGCATTTCATAGCAGCAAATGGGGAAGGATAACCAGTATTACTATTTTCCATTTAAATGCTTTCTGTCTACCATACAACTTTGTCATAATGTACAAACCTGGCAGAAGGTGTGTTATGTAATGTTCCAGCTTGCCACTTCATCTTCTTAAATGTGTTTTCCTAGAATTTGTTTATCTTGTTTATGCCCCTTCCTCCTATCACTTGTGCACTATTCAAAGTGGCTAACAACAATTTAAGCCAGCTACAAAATTTAATACTACTCCAAAAATGCCAAAAATAATAAAAACAGTGGCTGGTGCAGCAAGGTAAAACAGGCATTGGATTAAGAAATATCTGTCTGATAAGGCAAAAGCCTACTTAAGCAAAGGTTATTGCTATACATATAGTGCAACATCACGAGAAAGGGTGCTACTGAGATTCATGGACAAGCACTTCTTTTCTGTCCTATCTTTTACTTCCATCCCAAGCTGCTGTCTTAGTCATTGCCATAAATTAGGTCCTCTCCACTCAGATCTTTTGGTGCAGAAGAGTGTTACGGGCAGAACCAGCAGTCGCCAAGGTACTTTTGCCCCAAGATTCATCAAATGCACATTTAGTAACCTGGTCTTGATATAATAAGGCATGTGCCACCATGGTTCAGTCTGACCTTGTCAGAAATGAATGTAGCTGATGCACCAGCTTAAGCTGAACAGTGGCAGTCCAGGGTATAGTTACTACCTGAACATCTGCATGCAAAAATGAGTCCTTAAGCACTGGAACCAATTCTTCAAGGAAAGTACTTTTTAATCTCCAGAAGCTTGAATTTCTATACCAGAGTCCTGATCTGAAACACATCTATATTGTACCTCAGTGTATTAGTCTTATCCAGCCTAGTACTCACTCCAAACACTGATTAAGAACATCAACAGTTACCCTGATAGTGGATGAAAGGAGTAACTGTAACAGAGAGCTGCATGTGCTCTGCATATTGGTGACAATGTACTCCAAATGCACAGGCAACCATGCTGATGTCAAACAGTGGAAACAAGATCGAACCCTGAGGGATATCATACACCAGTAATGACCTAGCTGAACAGTCCCCCAATATCGTCTTCTGAAACTGACTTCTGATGAAGGACCAGTACTACTGTAGGATACTGGAAGGATGCCATGCTGATGTTGATTCTGTGAAGAGGACCAGTAGAAACAACAGGCCATGCACTTCTATCATTTGACTTCTGGTTTAGATAATCTGCCTGGGTAATCAAAACTGTCTCATTCCCAAATCCAGGTTTGAAGTCATGTTCAACAGGTCCATGTGCACTCAAAGACCTTGCCCAAAAAGCTGAATTGAAAAGTGGTTGGAAATTATCCAACATGGTAGAATCCAGAAGGGGCTTCCTTAGGTTCCTTAATAGTGGGAATGAATGAATGGTCTCTTGCTTTGCATTTGCAGTGCTCTGTTCCAGGGGTAGGCAGAATAGGCTGTCCCAGAACACCTGCCTTGGCATCCCCTGAGCTGCCCTCCTATTTTTGTTGCTGTTGTGGTTGTTAAATAACATCTGGGATTATTTCAAAGCAAAGAGCAAGCCGGCATAGAAATGTTCTAATAATAATAATGCTCTTTTCATTCCCCATGAATGCCTTGGACATGGAGGGTTCAGAAAATTCTTGGGACATGAAGTTGGTGGGTAGCTGCAATTCATTGCTATCCTGTGCAGCCACCAAGAAAAAGAATGGAGGAAAAGAGAAACGGCCCTGTCACTTCTCATAAGTTGAAGGGGATCTAAAGACAGTGGCCTGCGACTGGAAGAAGTGGTTGTAAGCGAAGTGACCAGTCAGGGAGGCCAGGCAGGAGTGGAAAGAGGAATAGAATAGGAAACCAGCAGTTACTGGGAGCATCAGCTGGGAGTAATCTGGGGAGACGGGGAGGATTGCATGTTGCATAGATGGGCGATGCATATATGTGAGAAAGAGAGAGGGTTTAGGGTGGATTTTGGAAAGTTCCTGAAAAAGAGTAAGTATGGTATTTTATGTTCCTGCAGGGAGGAGGTGGAGGAGAAAATAGTATGTGTCTGTGGATGGACCTGGGCATGCATGTGTGTATGTCAAGACATGCAAGATGGGTGTGTGTGTTTTGTGTGTGTGTGTGAGAGAGACCATGGGTGATGAGCTGATATGCAAAAAAGCAAATGTATGGATCATGATATAGTGAGAAGGAGAAAAGATGAGAAAATTAATTGACTTGCAGTAGGAGTAAGAAAGATTAAAGAAGAGATTGCTGTCTGTGGAATGGGTTTCTGTTCATATGGTAAACTGAATTTTTATTTGTTTGGGTTGTATTCTGTATTCTATGATTTGGAAAGGGAGCTTGTCCTTTGTGATCAGCCATGCCTTCTATGGCAGCTGTTTTGTAGTAGGTCCTAGAGCGGTTTCTCAGATTGTCAAATGTTCCCACAGGCCCCCACAAAATTGCTGAGTATACACTCCACAAGACTTCCCTGGGCTGCCTAATTAGCCAGAAGCGCAAGTTTCAAGTGTGCATGTAATTGCTCTAATCTACCCATATGCCCAGGCTGTACAAATGGAAAAAAAATCTCCATTTTAACAGGATGAGCAGGCCACAAAGTTATGTCAGTAGGGACTACTGTAATCAAAGAACTGAAGTTGCAAGCAACTTCATTCACATCATGGATAGCAAAAGTGTCACACTGGACAATCAGGTCCCCTTCTTCAAAATTTTCTGGTCCTTGATGTAAAAGATTTCTTGCAAACATAAAACAGACTGTTCACAAGTTTGAGAAAGTACAATTTTTGTGTGTCTGTCACCATCACAGAGAGGCCTTAATATGGGTTCAGCCCTGCATCTGTTTCCTGTTTCAATATTTTATTTATTTATTTATTTATTTATTTATTTATTTATTTATTTATTTATTTATGGCTTTTATAGGCCATCCATCACTGTTGTCTCTGGACTGCTTACAATGCAAT